GTCCAGAAGACCGACACAATTTTTTTCTTACTGAACAGATACCACTGTGTGACGCAGCTTTTCTCAGCTTGTTTAACTCCGACACTGAAGAGGAGGACTTAGACGGTTTCAGTGCACCGGAGGACGATGAATGAGACGTTTTGTTGGACCAGAAACTGTTAAAGAAAACTACCAAAATAAGGTCAGTTAAATGAACCGTATTCCTCCGAACTTTAATTCCTAAAGGTTTGCTTTTTATGTTTTGATGTTGAATTCACTTTTTTGACGGCAAATTTGGATGTACTGTTTTTTTTATGTTGGGGGTGCGGCTTATAGTCCAAAAAATACGGTACTTTGATTTTCCATTTTTCCATTTAAGTTAAAAAAAAAAAACAGAAAAACAACAGTGTTTCTCTTTTTGCAATTTTATTTTGAAACGGAAAACCCAAAGAACGAACCATACACAGATTGAAAATCCCCCATTTGTTCAAATCGTGTGTTGGAGCAAAGAAAAACCAACATTAAGAATCGGCTGAAGAAGTTAAAATTATGGGTTCGTCTTTCAGCATGAGACTTTTTTTTGTCATTGCGTGCCTGGGAACAGCTGCTTCCTGCCACCTTCTCTCTCTTCCACAAAACACTTTCAGCTTCTGGACATCTTGGTGTCATTTCATCAAGAGTTGACACCAACCAACTTCTAATGCTCCTTTGAGCTGCAAAGTGAGGTAATAACAGACACGTCCGCAGRCTGTTACAAATCCATCTTTTGTCCAGTTCCATCAGATTTGTCTCGTTATATGACGCAGCCTTCGCTCCAGGCTTCCATCGCCTGCAGCGTAACACGAGTGCGCCGGGTGAGAGGGCGTTCAGCAGGACCAGAACCTGACYGGTCTAGTACGATTAGAATGGGAGATCTCGTCGCTCAGCTCCCACACGGTTTAATGTTTTACTGAGTTTGTAAAAAGACATTAAATAATGAGGAAGTTGACATTATTGACTGAACAAACAATTCTGTGAAATCCTCGTTACCAAATACCTGCGCAGGACTTTAGTTTCAYGTCTGCACAGAACTTGGTGAACACCCAGGTCAAGGCTTCCCTTTTCTGGCGTCCGGTTCATTTATAAACTCGTATCTAAAAGTCTTGTTTGTTTAATCTCTTATCTCTGAGGGCAGCTCAACCCACATGTCTCTGAGGACAGCAGACGATGTTAACGGTCTCTGGGACGAGAGGGGAGCTCAGAAGTGACAGCAACTCGTTAGGCAGGATCCACCGCTTGTTGAGTTCAAATTGCTCTGCGCTCGTTTGTTTTATTGTTTTTTTTTTTTAGTGATTCATAAATAAGAGCATGGTTAAATGATTTCCAGRTAGCAGTGTTGGTTTAAAGTGGGGATCATTACATCTCTGTCAACATCCATCAGTCCCTGTGGATTGTGGGAAATGAGCAGTCGGCATTTTCTCAAGAAATAATCTGGTCTAAAGCAACAAAAAACGCAGCGAGACGGATCAAAACAGCCTTGAATCTTCCCTCTCAGCTTTCACACGTTCCCTGAATAATAACAACATATTAAACCAGGGGTCTGCAACCTTTACAATCAAAAGAGACATTTCGGCTCCTGGATGTGTCCAGAGCCACAAAATAAGCTACAGCTGTGATTATCAGCTGGTGGTCCGTGGGCCTTTTCATAGCCTTTTCGTGAACCTTTATGGTCAGTGGAGTGACATAAACCTAAAAAATACATTGTGAATTTTATTATTATTTTTACACTTCAGGACAGAAGAAAAAACATATTCATGCACAAGAAAAATAACTGGCTATAGTTTATACAGAATTTCATAAAAATCAGTACAGCTGACTTAGTCAGACATTTTTTTTCTAATTCTTATTATGTAGTCCTAAAAGGTATTTAAAGATAATCCTGATGGATTTGAGAGAAAGATCATAGATTATTTAGGTAGAAAACAGGTTTGCATGAGCTAACGTTTTACTCTTTGTATTAGTATTTTTGCATTAGTCGTACAATCACATATTTGCATACAATTTATAAGTCTTGTGAGTATAAAAAACAAAAAACAAAAAAATTTGTTATGTTTGGTCACATTTTCAAAGAGCCACTACAGAGGGACCAAAGAGCCACATRTGGCCCCAGAGCCGCAGGTTGCAGACCCTTGTATTAAACCATGTCGAGGTCTTAATAACAGTGAGTTTAACTGGAAATGATCTTTAGTTACTTTTTTCTTGACTGAACTGTGAAGCACTTTGGTCAGCTTTTGTTGTTTTAATGTGCTATAYAAATAAATTTTACATTTGACAATGACATTGACTTTTAAATCCTGAAGGTTCATAAGGAAGCATGAAGGTTAAAGTAAAAAACAGCTGTTTTTATGCTCGGTCATGTTTACCTCCTGCGTGAAGCGCCGAYGTCATGATGGACGTCACCCAGGACGTTTCGCTGTTGGACGCSTGAAACTCAGTCTGCAGGTCCGTGAAGAAGATCCCCATGCTGGCGGGTAAACCCAGGGCCAGAGACAGGACCAGGAGGGTGCTGGCCAGGACCACCCAGCCCCAGCCGCCGTCCGGAGCCACGGCAGCCCCCGGGTCTTGGCTCTCGCCCCCGAGCCCCGCCTCTTCTGTTTCCTTCATCTCGTCGAGCTCCACGCCATTGGCCGACTCGAAGGCCTTGGAGGACTCCAAGCGGAGGCGGTGGTCAGGCGAGCCCCCGACTCCATTTTGCTGAGTCATTTTCTGCTGGGCAGCTCGGGCAGAGCGCCTGTGATGGCTCTACAGGGGGCAGAGTCACGTTCGCTGCCCATGACACAAAGACCGCCACGTCCTTTTAGGGAGACCTGGAATCACAGAGCAAAGTGAGACGTAACGTCAAGGTGTGGGGGTCTTAGATGGATGGATATCGCCGACTCGTTTAACGTGCCTGTGACACACACGCCTATCCTTCAAACACAAAAAGTCAAAGAAAACATCTTTATACTTAAGAAAATTGGCATAGTACACGGGTTTCAACCACGTGGATATTCACCAACAGTTTATCCCTGCTGTGGTTTCCCAAAGCACCTGGAAAAATAAAATGTGTTCAGTCAGAAATATACAAACAAACATAAATAAACCAACTAACAACCTGGACTAAAATATTAGTGCTTAATCCTCCAGGGAATCCGCCAGCCAAGCACACTTCCTGTGTAAGTCCATCAGATATCAGCATGTTATAAAAATATAAACAATAATCACCAATTCAGTCTGTGGTTCTGCTTTAAAACAGGTCTGTTTGAATATGAAAACACGAGACTTGCGTAAGTGAAGATTGTCGAATGAAAAGATCTCCTGTTAGAAATATTTCAGCCTGAAGACACTTCAAACCGTTTCCAGATGCACCAACCGCTGAGAAACATCTTAGATTATTTTAGCTACTATTGTGAGGAGCATGTGAAAAGAAAACATTTCAGTTTAAAAGAAATGCTACCAAATAATCAAGTTATTAAATTTTCTCTCTCTCTTGTTCAATGGATTTAATTTTATAAAAACATAGTTTTTTTTAACAGACTTAAACAGGAACAGTTTAGTCTGATTTATTATTAGACAGTCAGGGGCGCTCACAGAAAGGTTAAAAAAAATCAATAAATTAAAAAAAGGGGGGGTCACCAAAAGCCATAACAGAGGTGATCCTGGAAGCTCTGTCCCAACTGCTCCTGGTAGGGTGTYGCAACGCTCGTTTGGACAGAAGACATCAAGCTCAACATCCCTCGCTCACACGGGGGGATATCAGGCCTCACCTTAGGGCCAAAGCAATGGGAGGGGATTCTTGGTGGGCCTCTTTATGGGACCTGGTCACTTAAGCCCGAATGAGTTATGAGTTTGCTTTCCTGTGAACCTGCAGGAGGGGCCATACGAGTCAGGTTCATGATGGCRTTCTGACCCTGGCAAATTAAAGCTGGCTAAATATATAAAAATATAAAATATAAAAATTCCAGAGACCCTGAATTCTAACAAAAGGACACAGATACAGTGGGGAAGATAAGTATTTAGTCAGTCACCAATTGTGCAAGTTCTCCCACTTAAAAAGATGAGAGAGGCCTGTAATTGACATCATAGGTAGACCTCAACTATGAGAGACAAAATGTGAAAAAAAAATTGAGAAAATCATTTTGTCTGACTTTTAAAGAATTTTTTTGCAAATAATGGTGGAAAATAAGTATTTGGTCAATAACAAAAGTTCATCTCAATACTTTGTTGTATATCCTTTGTTGGCAATGACAGAGGTCAAACGTTTTCTGTAAGTCTTCACAAGGTTGGCACACACTGTTGCTGGTATGTTGGCCCATTCCTCCATGCAGATCTCCTCTAGAGCAGTGATGTTTTGGGGCTGTCGGCGGGCAACACGGACTTTCAACTCCCTCCAAAGGTTTTCGATGGGGTTGAGATCGGGAGACTGGCTTAGGCCACTCCAGGACTTTGAAATGTTTCTTACGAAGCCACTCCTTTGTTGCCCTGGCAGTGTGCTTGGGATCAYTGTCATGCTGAAAGACCCAGCCACGTTTCATCTTCATTGCCCTTGCTGATGGAAGGAGGTTTGCACCCAAAATCTCACAATACATGGCCCCATTCATTCTTTCATGTACACGGACCAGTCGTCCTGGTCCCTTTGCAGAGAAACAGCCCCAAAGCATGATGTTGCCACCCCCATGCTTCACAGTTGGTATGGTGTTCTTTGGATGCAACTCCGCATTCACTTTCCTCCAAACACRACRAGTTGTGTTTTTACCAAATAGTTCTACTTTGGTTTCATCTGACCATATGACATTCTCCCAATACTCTTCTGGAACATCCAAATGCTCTCTAGCAAACTTCAGACGTGCCTGGATATGGACTGGCTTAAGCAGGGGGACACGTCTGGCACTGYAAGATCTGAGTCCCTGGCGTCGTAGTGTGTTGCTGATGGTAGCCTTTGTAACATTGGTCCCAGCTTTCTGCAGGTCATTCACTAGATCCCCCCTTGTGCTTCTGGGATTTTTCCTCACCGTTCTTGTGATCATTTTGACCCCACGGGCTGAGATCTTGCGTGGAGCCCCAGATCGAGGGAGATTAGTAGTGGTCTTGTATGTCTTCCATTTTCTGATTATCGCTCCCATAGTAGATTTCTTCACACCAAGCTGCTTGCCTATTGCAGATTCAGTCTTCCCAGCCTGGTGCAGGTCTACAATTCGGTTTCTGGTGTCCTCCGACAGCTCTTTCGTCTTCACCATAGTGGAGTTTGGAGTGTGACTGTTTGAGGTTGGTGTCTTTTATACTGTTAACGACTTCAAACAGGTGCCATTAATACAGGTAATGAGTGGGGGAAAGAGGAGCCTCTTACAAAAGAAGTTACAGGTCTGTGACAGCCAGAAATCTTGCTTGTTTGTAGGTGACCAAATACTTATTTTCCACCATTATTTGCAAAAAAATTCTTTAAAAGTCAGACAAAATGATTTTCTCAATTTTTTTTCACATTTTGTCTCTCATAGTTGAGGTCTACCTATGATGTCAATTACAGGCCTCTCTCATCTTTTTAAGTGGGAGAACTTGCACAATTGGTGACTGACTAAATACTTATTTTCCCCACTGTACTCTGCATCAGAACAATTAATTAAACGTTCAGCTTAGACCTGCTCTCTCTAATCAGGGAGATTAGCTTTTAAAGTTACACCTTTAACAAAAAATATATATTTATTTATATTTATTAATCAAAAATGATTTTATGTTATGTTAATTCTAAATAGCTAGGGGAAATTAAAGAAAGATAACACTAYCTGGCCAAGGGGGCCATCAGATGTAGGGGTGGTCTTTGCTCMACCTGGTCCTCCTTAATGCCGCCCCTGCATTTCTGGTTTCAGCTGTGGTTTTTAGGAGTTTTAGGAGAATAAATAGTGTTTGTTTTCAAGGAAACAGTTTCTTATCAGCTTATCTTTCCTGTGAGTCTGTTCATGCTTACTTTATGAAAACAAACTGATATAATTGTATTTATGTCCGGTTTGTTTTATATACACAACAGCGACAATTAGATTTTATTTCGGCTTTTTTTTTCTAACGTTTAAAAATACCCACCTGATCAAAACGCTGTCAGATGAAGCTGGTTTTACTGTAATGCAAATGAATTGTAAATGAATCGTGAAACGAGCTCGGTTCACATCAGTGTTTCCACCCATTCACAGGCAGAGCCACGTGAAGGAAGCAGGGACTCCTTCCTTCGGTCCTATTTACCGTGAAAACTCCGGATGTTTAGGTTACAAATAGAAGCTTTTTGTGTTTTACTCGCCTGTTTCTTCGGAGCTGTCCTCGGTCAACTTCGCAGTCCCCCCGGTCGCTCCGTGATGACCGATGCCGGACCCGAAGTCCGGGATTTTGCTCGTCATGAGCACGAGTCGACGGTTCACCGGAGGAGCCCCGTTTAGATGGTGAGCTAAGGGGCGTGGCTTAGAGGGAGGATGCAGAGCGAGGATAAAAAAAAAAAGGGTGTACGGGGCGGGCCTTAGACGTGGGGGCGGGGTTTATACGTGGAGGCGGGGCTTAGAGGGAGCTACGCAGGAAGTTCCTTGCAACTGACTGCAGCGCTTCCCTGGAAAAGTTATTTTTATCACAGTCTGAAAGTAAAAACCGCTGGGCACGCAGGGGACATGTAGAGCAAACAATTAAGTCGTTTTTAATTTTCTTAATTACTTTTTATTTAAACTGTTAATTTTTTTAAAACTGAAAAATAAAACCATTAAAAACAAACATAAAGTCTCTCATTACGTGTCCTTTCGTTAGTAATTTGATAACTAATTGTGTTCATTGATTTTGTCTGACAGAAACCTGGCTCAGAAAGTATAAATTAATCCACTTCTGCTAATTATCTAAATTTTCGTATTCACAGAAAAATAGGTCAAGGMTTAGCTGCTGTTTTTCAGTCTGGATTATTCATTAATGCCAAATCAATTAATTAATTCTAAATCTGTTGAGTTCTTGGCCCTTAGTTTTTCTTATCCAAAATGGAAAAGAGAAAAAAAACAGCTCTTAAGCACTGTGTAATAGTGTATTTTGTTCTTATTTTCTTTAGTTTCACATTTTTCTCTGCATCAATAAGCTCGTGGACTACAGCAGYTGGGAAAAGGAGTTCGGCTGACTTAAAACTGCACACAATCCAGGACAGAAGAACATGTAGCTGAAGGAACATCAAGACCCTCAAGGTGGGTGTGTTGTGAACAAAGACCAGAGGACGGGATGCAGACTGACTCAAAGAACAAAACCTGACTTAATTATTTTTTTTAAAATGCTGACATGACAGCTGACAAAGACAAAAGTTTAAAAAAAAAAGACAAAGACAAAAGTTTAAAAAAAAAAACCCACAAGAAGGCGGTGGAAAAGGCAGACGAACAGTGACAAGCTGAGGATGGACTGAGAACCAGAGGATTAATGAGACTAGGAGCGGTGGAATAAACGGTGAGACTAATGATAACAAAGAACAGGTGTGAGGTGTAACCTGAGGGCAAGAGGGAGAAAGGGTTAACGACTCAGAGASWMTRWRAMMCYCWCMCCCCCTCCATGGGTGCTTGAAGGACCTTACTGACAGTTCTTCTGACCCAGAACWCATGAATACAGAAGGGCCTCCAGATTTCCTCTAAAATTACCTTCTTCCAACAATCCAGGCCCACAGTGGTAAAAGAAGCAACTGAWTTTAGATTTTTAGTTTCTCCTTTTATCTGCTGTCACTGAAAAAGATTTGTGGTGACCTCTGGTGGTCCGATTTTTTAAATCTCCATCAAATATAATATTTGGTTTCTAGTTTAAGAGATTATTTCCTCTCACTGCATAAAGAAAACTGTTTATATTTCTTTAGAATAATTTGTTTATATATTTCTATTTCATTGGAGCAATAAAGGGACTCATTGCAAAGTAAGAAATCAATTTTAAAATGGTTATTCTAATTTATATTAAGTYATTCTAAATCAAATGGTGCAGTTTAAAAGAATTTTACTCCAGTAGTGCTCCCTGAATGTGGATATGAAGTTTTGAAATGTGGGTCTGCACTCAATATAAACAAAACACTCAAATTCACCATAAACTCTTTGAAAGCTTATTTGAGATTATCGTAGTCCGCAGATAAACAACATGGCCGATAAGTTTAGCCTTTATTTTCAGTCACTTTGGCTATTTCTGTAGGTAAACAACAAGTTGGGGTCTTAGCTGTTGAGAGGTTGAATGTGGGCGGAGTTTTAAAAAATAGGCGGATAATCTTGGGTGTGGGTGGAGTTTGAGAAATTGATGGTTGGGTTGATTTATGGCAAGTATGTGATTGTGAGCTCACAGGAAGTACTGACCATGTTATTTTATATATATATATTTTTTTTCAATTTTTTGTGCTTCCAGCACCTTATTGTCCGAGCGTCAATATTCAAAAATATCAACATTTTTTTCCCACTCAGGGTTGTTTTGACCGAGCCGAATAGTTAAACGCCCGACCACATATATAGCATCCAAATTTTGTGCTACAAGCTCCTTCTTGTCTCGAGTTATGACAAATATTCAAAACTAGCCAGCTTTTTACAGGTGCATTCTGGACATTTCGACCGAGSCAAATTGTTACACATCCCCCCTGACTTCATCCAATCGAATCGTTAAGGCTTCTTCAAACCCCACCCTAAATTAGTCAATCTGACTAATCAGGTCCTTCACAAACTCCTCCCACAAAAGTCAAACAGACCAATCATGTATTTTAGAAACTCCTCCCACATCCAGGAACCTCCCACTTAATAACTGCAGAGATCYCCTTCTCAGCAAAGATGGCAGTTAGAATCTGGTCACAAATGTTTCATTTCAGGACAAACACATTAAATTGAGTTGTTACTTTGTGATTAAAAACAACAACATGTTGTTCATGACTTTGAAGTAAGTACGTTTTACGCAGAAACAAGGAAATATTAGTTTCATTCTTTTTTTGCTTTTGAAGTGCCAGAAAACAGGAGACGACAGAAGAAACAGAGCCACACATGTTTAAAACACAGACACGTTTTTTATGATTTAAAAACCAGACTGGGTTTCGTCGATATCGTCACATGTAAAGAAACAATGTTGGTAGACAAAATCTGAAAAAATATAAAATAAATTAAAGTGAAAAAAACAATCGAAATGTTTTTTTTTCCCAGCTCTCAAACATTTCTCTACAGTCTTTGACAATATTCACATTTGACATCAATACTGTTGATTAATAAACACAAAAGGCAAAAAGGGGACATTTTCAGTACATTCTAATGGGTTTACAGGTGTGCATGTCCACAAACGCATGCAGGTGTTTACAGATTACCTGGTGAGATGATCCACAAAGTAGTTTTATTTTTTTTATTTTGACCTGCGGCTCTAGAAAGGGCGCGTGGAAGTGTCTGAACTCTGACAGGCAGGTTAATTTAGGGGTTTTAAATGAGCTATACTGCTGAATGAATTAATGAAAAATACAAAAAACTACAACCAGAAACATGTGAGTAGGGAATATGTCTTATTATAGACCGCTGTTTCACATAAGAAATATACAACTACAAACCACAGAACCATGCCCTCATCTCTGCTCCCCACCTCCCCATGCATCACATCATTTCTGCACTAACACGACGATCTGACACAGTCCAGTTCATCAGATCTGGATCTCTAGAACAATGCATGCTCTGACATTTTCAGGAGYCCAAACAACAAATGAATATAGAAATTTTGCAGAATTGTTAACACTGTACATCATCTGCAGAGTAATTATTTCAAGTAGATGGTGACAACATACGTTAGCTTTTAAAAATAAAAAAGTGTTTTTTTTAGCCAAACAGTTTGACCGTCACTGCAAAGTTTTGCTAGGACAGTGGGTCCCCACTTTTTTGCCAAACAAAGCAAACCACATGTTAAAAAACACGCAGTGATAAAATCAAGCTAAAACTTTAGATATTTACAAGAAAACGCTTTAATCATTCTAATTKTTAGAAGCTCTGATTAGCATTAGCACCGCTTTTGAGCAGAATGCTAACACTACAACTGCTTGGCTAAGGCTAACATTAGAATGTTAGCATTAGCACAAGTTTGACCATAATGCTAAAACTAAAACAGCTTAAAGCTTAGCACAGCTTTGAGCAGAATGCTAAAATTAGCATCCTAAGCTGCTCAAWTTTTTTTCTTCAAGTTTAGCTCTGTCAACAAAAATTTATCACCACAATTCACACACCAGTTCTAAAAGTCACACTTGTTTTAAAGTCATTTTAAAATTTAGCTTTGGGCTAAATRGAAATGTCAAATAGCTAACATGCAAACGGTGTTAGCACAACACTAGTTAATAATTAGACTTAAGTGCAAAACACCAGTGATTCTGACATAAATTTAATTTATTATTAAAGACACTTTGCTGAAATTGTTAAAAAGAGTAGTTGTGCTATTATTCTTATTATTATTAATATTATTATTGTATTTGAGGTTTATTTTGCTTCGAGCTAATGGCTAACACGATCCTGCTAATGCTAAATTTAATTTATTAGCACCACAGAGTGGTGGTAAATAAGAACTGCATTTGGCTGTTAAACTAATTAATTATGTCCTTTGTTAAACATTTTCTTTGTTGTGAATTAAGTCAACATTGAATGTCACAAATTTATGTTTTATAGCCTTATTTTTTTTTATATAAATGTGGAGATGTAAGCAAATACTTCCATAAAAGGTAGCTTGATTTTTGAATGTTTTTCTGCAAAACAGAAGTGGACGTATTTTTTTTTTAAAATTTGGCATTTAAGCCAAAATAGCTTGCTCACGTCTGTGCTGAATTTAGAGGGTGGGCGGTACACAAGTTTACACATTTCCTTCTTAAATATCTTAATAAATGTTGCCACCGTTTTAGACAATCAAAGGGGAAAAAAGGCAAACTACTTTTTCCAATATAAATATTTTTCTGTGGGGAAGGGTAAAATACAATTATATAGTTGAAAATTTACAATTTAAACCCTCTGTAAAATCTCAATAATGAGTCTAAAGACATAAATATCAACATAAATGTGCTTTGTGAAACATGCTAGCAGTTGTTTTTATTCATATCATATTTATAATGTTAAATTTGTGAACAGGCTAACATTTTTCTTTTTGCATAAACTAAAATTATTCATGTTTTTAGCCCTGTGATGGTTACAATATAAGATTTCACAACAGTTTTTTCCAGATGCTGTTAGCATGACTGGTACAAAATAAAATATAAAACTGAAAACACACTTTCCTTTCTTTTTTTCTTYAAACACTAAGGTTGGAAACCACTTCACTCTGCAACCAAGACAAGATAAATCTGGGTTTATAAAAGGTTAAGATCTTTAAACACTGATTACAAACATTTAAAACTGAATTCATAAATGTGGCTTCGGCATGCAGCTCAGTAAGAAAGGACTGGAWGTTTGTGGTCAAATTAATTCTTGTGAACTGGAGTTTTACTAAGATACAAGCAGAAGACGAAATCTTTCATTTTTCTTTCTTTTTCTTTTTTTTGATGAGACTCAACAGTCACAGAACTTCCAACAACAACCTGTTTACACCAGATATGGACGCTGATTTTTATCTGAAGGTTGACATATTCAGTTTTTTTTTGCTGGTAAATAT